GATCAAGTAAAACTTTTGTTCTTGCATTAAAGCTATCTTTAGCGCAACATGATATGGGTTTCTGAATTTTTTATGTTAATTTTTGCAGCTCTTCTTCACCATTGTCAAGGATGGACATTACGCGGTTGTGGTTGCAAACTTGATGCAAAAACAATTCAATGTTTTTTATTCTAGGAGTGACGACCCTGACTATGTCAGCATTCTTGAGGAGCCATGTTGCAATTAGTATGGGCATTGCACCCTTTTCCATCTCTATTTGATCATTCTTTCTTTTTGTACCATTTTTATGTTGCGGTACCAATCAAAAGATGCCACTATGTCATCTTTTCTTATATATGTTTCTTTTTTTTGATATCAAATGTGCAGATAGAAAACTTTAAAACTCTGGTCAGAGATCGAAACCCATGGAAGCATGACCTTGATAAGTTCGTTCGTTTCAGCCCAGATGGGTATACGCAGCAATCTACAACATATTATGTTCTTTTTCTTTCTTTTATATGTCCATCCAGAGACTTTTACATTTGTTTTTTCAGGAAGCAAACATCATATGCTATTTGTTTTTTCTGATGGCAGGTTTGATTGTGGGTTCTTTGCTATTCTATACATGGAGAATCTCACTGCGAGGGGGATGAAGCCATTCAACATGGTATGACCCATTCTATGCAACACTATTTTCAGGATTTTTTTTATGCAACACTAGTAGCGGATCATATTCTTTTTTGCTAACATCATTTCTCCCTGCTCATTATGTGTGTGCGTGTGTGTGTTTTTTGCTTTTGTATGCTCAGGATACGAGGTCGTTGCTCAATTTACATTCATTGCAGCAAAGCTTTTCGAGCACCCTCAAAACACTCTCAACTCGGCAGAAGAGTTCCGGGCCCTTTTGAGAAGCTCATAGACAATGTCAATCAGAAATAAGACCTTTGCTAGTTTGTTTAGGCTTTATCTCAGTCCATCTTTTTCTTTTTGTCAACAAAACGGCATGTTGCTCGCTAAATCATTTTTGTAACCGAAGATCATCTACTTGATATTACCTATGACCCTCTCTAGTAATCTATGGAACCCAAAACTGGGAGCATGTTGTCATGTTGGGACATGTCCCCTTTTTCTTTTTCTCTTGAATGCTGGAGCATCATGCATGCTGAGATTATAGTGTAAAGTGGAGATGGTTTTTCAGATATGATAATGAAATGACTACCTTTTTATCAGTATTTTGTTTCTTGCTCACTGGTATACATTTTCTGTGAATAGTGAAACCTCCCATAAATGCCCCTGTAACATCATCTTTTTACGCCGAGTCGGAAACATGTTGCTGCCAGGTTGCACGATCAAACCAATTTTTTATTGAAGCAAAAAATTTGTGCAATACATATGGTCAACCAATGAGCCAATGTGTCTCAAGTCTAGGCACACAATTACAATATGAGCTCTTTTTCTATTTTTGTGTAACACAGGGTTTCAAGTTTCATGTAGAACTAAAATACACCGGGTTTCATATAGAACTCGAATCACAGGTTTCATATAGAACTCGAATCACAAGTTCCATATAGAACTCGAATCATAGATTTCATATAGAACTAAAAAATAACGTATACATGTATCTCAATCACAAGTTTCATATAGAACTCGAATGCATCATCAAATTTGCAAAAAAAGAACTTATACATGTATCTCAAACACAGGAATAGAGTTTGAAATGAAAAGGTTCAGTTGCGATGCTTGGGCATCACCAAGGAGATTTTTTTAGCAAGAGCTTCTACCTGTTTCTCTCATCATTTTTTTCTAGAGGTTCAATTGCGATGCTTGGGCAGTATTTGGACCATTTCCCATCACAGCTCTCAAATACACACAAACTGGGACTGCATGACCAACCTTGGAACAAAACTAGCATTTAGGGGGTGCTGTCGCAGCCTCCATCACAGCTTTTAGGGGCCCATATGTCTGAATATTGTGACCTTCTTCGTGGCAGTGCTTATAGCGAATAGTCCTTTTTTCAGCTCTCGGTTTTTCTGATGTTGTTGGCTTCTTCTCTTGTTGTTTCGCCTTCTTTTTTTGTACATCATCTCGGTGCTCTACCTACGTCTTCTTTCTCTTCTCTCTTTCAGTTGGTCGACCTTTCTTAGGGACATGAGTTGGGTTTTGTAGCATCTCCGAGTTTTGAGGATGTGGTAGGTCATCATTCAACGTTCCTGTTGCGGTAGCGGGGGGCGTTGGGGGTTCACTTTGTTGCGTTGCTTGTTGTTCTGGCAGTGCTCCTCTTTTCGCCGCTGCTATGGCAGGTAAACTTTTATTGCTTCATCTAATATCTTGTATGCATCATCATTGCAACGTGCATCAGAGGCGAGCCATGTCAACCTTCGACACAGGGATTGTATTTCAGCGTGTTTGTCGAGGGGTGCCCGAAGTCCAACAATCGCCCAGTTCTGGCCATGCTTGTTGTTGCTGCTTCAGATCATCTCTCCAACAAGTATCGCTGCAGAATTTTTTGCACATTGAGGTGCACCATCACCCTTATTATGTGGGCATAAACCAGACCATTCACCTCAAATTAGTGGCAACTACATTGAAACACCCCTCCATCCATCATAACATGCACAAAATAGAGCTTTGGGTTCTCATATAAGCTTGATGTTAGCTTGAATAGTAGACCTTGCCCTTGGTACTCAGGGTCTTGGTAATCCTCGGCAGGTATATTGCGGTGTGAGTGGTAGTATCTAACACGCTCTGGTTGTTGCATCAATGGTTGTGTATGCTCCGCAACAAAGCAGGTCACTGTCCATCTCTCCTCCCTAAGTCCAACAATCATGTGTGCCTTACAATCATGATGGAGAATCTTGTTCTTCTGGCGTGTTCTTGTTACATCCATTTCAGCACTAAGCCACCTACTGGAGTTGCTTGTTTCTGTTGCAATGCTCTCCGAGGTGTTACTTGTTTCCGGTTTATCGGGCTTTCTAGCGTGCACACACCCAAAGACCCTCTTAATCATTTATTGCATCATCTTGCTTCTGGCATCTCTTCAGGCTGTACTTTGTAGAAGATATATGTGTCCCAAACCCCAACTTGTAGGCATAGTCATTATAGAATTTCTTGGCATCCTCAATTGAGTCAAACACCATGCCAACATAGGGCGGTAGTGGCTGTGATGAAACATCTCCATCATCTGAATCATCTTACATCGCACCATCAGCATGCAACAAACCATCCGAATCTTCATGATTATCGACAGAAAAGTTTCTTTGGACATAGCTCTCTTCCCCTTTAGTCCCAGCTTCCTGAAATGAGGCACATGTTTTTTTTTGTAAATAGAAGAAGTGTTGTGCAACCGTCTTTTTCTCTTCTACATGGTATCAACAGTTCTAATGTTGTTTCGGAAATTCAGCAACATAGACGTACATTTGCACACAAATTTTCACTCAGTCTGACTTTTTCTCACATAAGCATACACATTCAAAAATGATATCCGAGTGATTTATTTTATTTTTTCATCAAATATGTTGATAGATAACAAGTAACAGAGGGAATCATGTTGCAGAAATATAAGAAGCGGACACGTGTGTGGCGATGTGCCTTGGTTCCACCCACCCACACATGAAACAAAATTGATTTTCTAGCTGCCGCACACATGAAACAAAATAGGAACTGTAGCTATGTTTTTGATACATATGTTTTTCATGAATTTCATAAACACGCAGGTGTTCATGTTTTTCAGATCC